ACAACTTGAGAAAGTGTCCTCGTACCTACACTTACTGCAGCCTCCTTGGACTTGCTGCTGTTACAATGAGAAAGAGAGAAAGTTTGGTACACAGACAACACAAGTACACAAGAAGGAGAGAGCAACAGTACAATATATGGTGGCAGAAAAACTGTCAGTAAATCTGCAAGAGAGTTTGTGAGAGTAAATACTTTATAGTGTCAGAAGGCTTTGCCTTGACACTATCAGTTTCAGGTTGACTAAATCAATGGTCATGTGTACTGACTTTGTGAATGTCATGCTCCTTTGTGGTTTGAGGTGGTTTCACATACAACAGGATGTTGAGCTAGAAAAAAATATTGCTTTGATCTGAATCAACCAGGAATAACTGGATCACCCCAAAATCTGTGGAAATGTATATATACTCTGGTTTGCAAGATGTGTACATGGAAAAAAACTCAGATATTTACAAAAAGAGAAAGGGAAGGCTTTTAGGATATAACTGACGAGAAACAGCATTTTTGGAAATTCATTAGGCTACAGAAGGACAATACACCGGAAGGCACAATGTAACAACATAGTAAAGATACTGTATGTTTCATGACCTGGGATCTTTGTGTCAAGTCCTGTATTTGGAGGACATGTTCAGAAATGCAGCTTCTTACCCTTCCTGAAGTTTCTTACAGGCTGCAGCTGCAGAGGTGGGTTGTAATCTCGCAGTCTTACGTGGACTGTCCTTTACATTACCTGCCGGGCTCTTCACAACACTGACAGGAAAGAAAGCATGTACGGTAAGATCATGTACTTAAATAAAACTAAAAACAACAACAACTGCAGTCAAGTACACAGGTTCTAGTGCCACTGGGAAATTAGAAACCTCTTGTGGTCACACAGTGAAAATGGACTTTTTAGTGAGTAGAAACATCCTTTGTGCAGCGGTTGAGTGATCGCTAGTGCTGTCAAGTGTGCATTTATAAGATTAATACACACAAAAGACAAGGAACGAATAAAAGAAGAAAAGACAGATGGCTGGAAACCAACTAGAGGTAATGAAGATACAAAACAAAAGAAATGGACATCAATATGATGGAGATAGAGAGAAGCTGGAGAGTAAGATGATTAGATATTAATGGAGTAAGAAGGTGAAATAAGAGTGGAGGGAAATGAACCAGTGTTGTTAATCATGATGGCAGTGATGATAATACTTCTCACTTTCATCCTAACACTAAATGGACACTCTTAAGTGAATAGAGATTTACCTCTTTCACTCCCTCTGTGTGTGTGTGTGTGTGTGTGTGTGTGTGTGTAGTTCTATCAGCGTATCCCAGATACAACAGCAGCACATTACCGTACCACAGACATCTAATGGCGCTATCATTTGAAAGGTAACTGGGAGGAAGACATGCAGAAAATGTTTTGCTACTTTATTGCTTTGAAAAAAAAGGCAAGTGTTGGAATAATTAATGAGCATCAAAGTGTAGTGTTGGATAACAGAGGGCGTCTGCTGATTGCTTTTGCACATTTAATAATAAAACTGAAGCCTGAGATTTGAGACTGAAGCTTCATTGTGAGCTGCTTCTTAAGAACAGTTTTACATTAGCATTAACAGACATGACAGTATGCTGTAGCTCTCTCATTGCCCTGAGATTTTCTTTTGTGGTCATGCCACAGACTCCCTGACTGCTGACAGCGATTTACCTGCGGGGTGGTGTTGGGCTGTAGTTCCTGGCTGTGGAGCTGGAGGGCAGTGTGGAGCTCTTCTTCAGGGAGGCAGTGCTGGAGGTGACCATGGGGTGTCTGGAGGGCAGAGCCAGAGACGCTGGCCTGACTGTGGGAACACACCCACACAAGGGGGTAAATATGATGTGTGTGTGTGTGTGTGTACAATGTATAAAGGGGTGTAATTATGTGGTTTATTCACATCTAGTTTTCACAGTAGTGCTCAGCCAAAAACTATGGTGTCCTTGAGGGCTCAATGTGCTGCAACTTAAAAAAAACAAAAAAAACAAATTCAAATAAGCAAAACACTAGCAAATGAAGATAACACTTTCACCAACTGACAACAGATGTGCAGCATTTTGTTGCAGTGTATTGAGCTCTCACGGACACATAAAAAACTCAGTTAATTTGTTTCATCGAGGCTGCATGGGAGTGGTTTAATTGGATTTTCCTGACAGTGGTGACAGGAAGAGCAGATCCATATACCTATTAATACATTCTGAGTGAAATTTTGTTGTTTTTCACTAAAGTACATTATCATATTTGCCATCTGACCCCTGCTGAGTTCAACCCAGTGAAACAAGTGGGATCAGAAACAAAAATATAAAAATCCATTGTGAAATAATCCGACATGTTTACATTGTCAAAGATGCTGGGCTTATGTAGGATGCAGTCACTGAAAATTAAAATCTGTTTGAAGGCTATTTAAGTAAACTGATATTTTATAAATCAAATGACTGATCACTCACACAGTGAAATAATTGACAGCATCCTCCTATATGTTGAACAGCCCTTCCACTATATTGACAATAATCCACACACAGATCTCTGCTCACCTTTAGCGTCTGGTGCTCTCCTGCCAGCTGCAGCTGCCTGGTGCTTCTCAGAGATGTTGAGCCTCTTGAGAACATCAGCCAGAGCCATTTTCAGCAGCTGGATTTCATCTTCCTGCATTTGCATTCTCTGCTCCAGATAGGTCACCCGGTCAGCCACGTCCAGACCACTGGCTGCTGAGCTGCGGTCATCTGAAGGAACGCCAGAAAACAAATAGACACATAGGACTGCATGACATGTTATGCCGGGACTAAGACTGTCTTATTCATTTGTTGTACTTTTTAATGGCATAACTGAAGATGTGTTTAAAACAGTGCCAGTTCATAAACAAGTGGAATCTGAGGCATCCACTAAACAGCTGTTAGCCCCCAAACCATGTCTAAATATGGTTTAATGTGCAGATTTTATAGTACAAACTCACTATAATCTCAGAGCAAATGTCAGAAAGACCTTATGTACATATGCTAGTGACATATGTACATAATCACACACACAGAAGTGGAC